GGGGGGGGGGATAATTTGTGATGATTTGAGAGGGAGTTGCTCAAGTTGCGATGTCACACGATATTTTTTTCCATTTTTAGTCCAGAAAAACTCGCAAAAGCAATTTTGCTCTCGACCCCTTTTTTCGCACGAAAAAACAGATTTTCACCAGTTCTTTTAAATATCCCAAAAATGCATGGAGAGAAACTTCAGAACGCTTTGATGTTAATAATTTAAGGTATATCCCAAGACAATATTACCCAAAAGTTAGTCCCTGTGGATTTCCGGAAAAAAAATCTAAATAACTTAATTTATTGCATTTTTACAGGGGAGGGTCGGGCAAAATAGGAGGTGTTGAGATCTTTTCCAATTGTCTATATCTTCATTTATGAGTGAAGATATAGACAACTAGAGAAGATCATGAAACGTTCTATTTTGCCCGACATTCCCCCAAGTTATTGGGTCTTTTTATACTCATATGCTATTGATGAAGGCAATAAGAACTGTTTGAATCAAATAATAAATTATTTGTTAATCAATTGTTTGAAGCAAATCAGAAATGATTCACGAAAATTATGTACTATAAAATTTTCCAAAAAATTCACCATATTCGGAATTTCAGGAATTTCAGGACGGATTCATTTTTGAGAACGTCGTAAGTACCGTTGTCTGATAATATCAATAAATCAATAATCGAGTTCGGGGGGCCCGCATCGCATTATTAATTATCTCTTAAACTGTGTAGTACAACTGGTTAGAATTGTTTTCAAAACCTGAGGAATATTATAAACATTATCTATGAAAAACATTCATAATAGGTTGGTTTTGCTTTTACCTTCTCTCGTTGCTGTTGTGATCATTGTCTGTTTTATCGTTACTTATCCATGTACTTTTGGCCAAAGGATTAATCAGTTGCCCAGAAGTAAAATTAAATGGTGTAACACGAATTTCAAAGTTCAGGTGAGCTCCAACCATTCTCCATCTGACTCCTGAGAGGGAACAAACGGTATGAGAATTTGGCGAATGGTTTTTCACTTATGGGACAAAGTGAGAGTTAAGAAATTTCATGACAATCTAATCAACTCCAGAAAGGGAAGTCAGTTATCATGGAATTGTCTCATTGACGAGTGATTTTAAGAAGAAATATTATCACATTTGTTTAAATTAGATTGTTTGAAATGAGATATCCAAGTACCATTCGTCATTTTGAGATTCTCAGTCAGAAAAATTTGTCGAATGAAAGCTTGTTCAACTACAAAGATTGAAAAGTATTTTTAACTAAAAACAAACAGGTGATAATGAGAATGTGACTGGAGATTTCCTACTCAGGAGATTATCTTTTTTTTCACCAATAAACAGCCAATCACAACGTGATTCGCTGAAGGATTGAAAAATTATAGCGTTCTCCATCTGAAAATCTATTATCGGAATTTAATTATTTTCATTAGATACATCAAATTATTAATTTGCAATTTCCTCCCTATTGGGTTTATTTCCCAATATTATTCCAAAACGCTCTTTGAAAATGTTCACCCTTTTCTCAATGTTTTTATGATTGCATAATCACAATTTCTGGAGACCCCAGAAATGTCATCAAACTTCCTATTTTTACGTTGAAACGTTCATTTTTTACATTTTCTTCATTGATATTTTCTCTTCCAATCACTCATCCTAAAAATCACTGCATATCTATGAGATTACGTTTCTATCTCTTTAATGACCGATTCAGAGAAGCAACTATCAGGAGACATTTTCGACAAGATTTTTCGATGACAAATCGGTTGAATCTGCTGACAACCTGATCGCCCTGCTTGCCTTTTCGAATTTCGCTCTCTAGTGCTCTAATCTCATTACTGCTCTAAATTCGACAACTAGTGCTTTACTGTTGCTACTCGTTTCGTTTTGTAATCTATTGTCGAAAGCTTTTATTCCACTGGCTTACTGAACGCCATACGTACCAGTTGTATCTCTTGATAAATTTCTTATACTACTTCATTGCGATTATAATCGAATATTATTAGTAATCTTCGTTTATTACGCAGAACCCCACATTTATGAATGACAAGGACATTCTCTAAACTCCAAAAAAGATTCCTCAACATTTTCTTAGAGAATCACTCAAGATCAATGCATGATTCACATTGATTCTCCTACCAATTATTCAAATATATTCCCATTGATACACGACCGATGACAACATGAACAAACCCGTTAACCCGTTAGTCATGACTCACCAGTGAGAACGTGGTCATCAGGTGCAGACAGATCATCGAGATCAATGGCCCTCTTCTCCCACGACAATGTATGGAAGTCCCTGCCATTGACAACACCCCGATCCAAAATAGTGTAATTATCGACTGGTTTCCACTCGACACTGGCCTCCTCAATGTCACCACGACGTATCAGTACACCCTGCTGAATCTGCATGTGAATTATCCCATTCACTTTTCTCAATTGCAGTCCTGTTATGACCCTGAAAATACCGAGTGACATTAGTTCAGACGTGATAACGCCTCTTGTTTGAAGAAGGTGAGGTCTGCGATAACGAGTGCGATAACTCACTTGTTATTGACAACATCCGATGTAATCTCACGAAGGTTGAAGTAACGCTCTGAGCTTGAGTTGTGATCGTCGCAGTAGCACATGCAATAGCTGCAGTGCCAGAACAACCAACGCCACCAGCTGTCCACCTTCGTTGTTGGTCGCTTGCAGGTACCCTTGTTGCCGAATATATTTCCATTCTCGTATTCAATGTATTCGTATCTTCTGTGGCTGTCTTTTGTCTAGAAGAATTGTTATTTTTTAGATTACAGAATTTTCTTGCGTATATTTTCTGGAGGGAATAAACATATTTTGATGAAATGTAGGTTTCTTTTGCGACTCTCATCGAATTCTACAACAGAAATTGCAATAGATGTTTCGCTATCACGTAGAAAAATTGGTTATGTGAATCAAATTAATTTCATTTGAATTTATTCATATAATTCGTAATAAAGGTTTCACGGAAACTTAAACTTGATTTTTATTCGCGTTTTATTCACATCAAATAAAAAGTTTTTTTTCTGATATAAAACAATAGGATGCCAGTTGGAGGTATTTTTTTGATGCTGCCTCTTGGATACGTTCGAAATAAATTTTCTTTTTCCTATTACAATAGCACGTGCTTTTGATAAAATTGAAATTTCATTTTTTTCTCTTTCGGCAGTTCGTGAAAATTCCAAATGATGAATTGAATTTTTACGTACTGAAGGACAAATCCACATGTCCGAATCGAAATACTGACAGTTCAGAACCTTCCCATTGCACTTCCTTTGCTGGGAACAGTACAGATTATCGTAGCATCCGTGGACCTTAGCGTAAGAGTAATACGCACAGTTTTCACGACAAGTTGATGATGGATTCAAATCCACTTCATTCACTATATACCCTTGGAACAGTTGCTTTAATTCTGTATATGTTGTGCCTGAAGACAAAAACATGATCCAATAGAAACAATTCTTCTCACTGTTGATTACATTTATCCCCATTATTCCCTTATTCGAAATTTCTATTAATTATACATTCATCTTTGAAAAAAAAGGGAAGATCTTATTCGATGCTGAAAGAATTTTCCCCAAAAGTCCTCACCATCAAGGTAATTTCATATTCAATAAGATATGGAAAAACAATTGATTCTGCAACTTTTCTTTCCTGAATTGATTGCTCAAGTGATTAAGTTTAATTCAGATTGATCTATGGAGCTGTTTTCACCTTCTTTATGGACATTTGAATCACATTTCCATAAATCTCTGGGTGCAAACGCCATAGCAATGCGCACAGCCCTCAAAGTCTCCGAAGTTCTTGTCAAATAATCCCTCTCAATTTTAGACCTCTCCTCGTCAAAAGAACCTGATGATTAATACAAAATTGTTTAAATGAAATACTTGAATTTTCACCCGTGAATCATTTCTCCATCCTGTTACGTACCATTGTTATATAAGCGTAGTAAACTGTAAGAGAACTGCATCATAGCATACCCCTTTACTTCAGCCAGAGCAATTGTCGTGTATAAATTGTATAGCAGCTGCTGGGGGGACTGTTGTTCTTTGCAAATTTGTGCTGCTGCTTCCTAAAATCATTAGAGAACAAAACCTTTATTTTTTGTTGTTTAGATTCCTAGGAAATTCATCGAATTCAAGGAGTTTTCCATGTCATATTAACGATTCATTTTCATAAAAAATATCATATTCTTCAATGATTTATTTACGAATAATAGAATTTGATAGGGAAATATGACCAGAGAAATTAGATAAATTTAGTTCGAAAATAGGAGTTGCTCTGAGATTTCCCAGGAAATGATAACATTCAGGTCGTGATTACGACATTGTAGTAGTGATAAGTCTTTTTAGAATTAAAAATCCAAGAATTCTTTAGCGGCCATTTCATTAGCTTTGAAACCTTCCTCTGATATTTAATGGAAAACGCAATTATTTTCGAGTAAAATGCATGATTTTCAAGGATTTATACATCTTATTGTATCACACCGATACCAAGTGGTTTTAGAAACCATTCTTGACAATTCTTCTGCGAATCGCTCTAGCATAAGAAAAAAAATCTCAATGTTTTTTAAAATCATTTCTTAACTAGATTAATTGCAGAATTATGAATTATGAGGATTACGAAGCATTCAATTTTTTCTCTCATTCCTTGATCATTTCTAGAGCAAAAGTACAAAATTAAATACTCCATGAAAAATTGCTAAGAATCCAAGGAAAAATTCCAAAAAAAAGATCTTTTCCAAATTCTTCCCCAAGTTTTTTCCCTATCAAGCTATTCCAAAAGCATTTTTTTTTATTTAGAGCATCTGAACCTCTTGGTTCACTTCGTTATGTACAAAAAGAATAAGAATACAAATACAATTCATACATAGGGGAGAGTGGGGCAAAATGAAACCGCCGAAAAACGACTAGTTGACGCAATTTAAACAAAAAAATGTTTTTTTATGAACTTTTTTGGTGATTGGAAGTACTGATGAGAATAACAATTTTCTATTCGTCTTATAATTCAATTGATTGGATTAGGCCGATTATACTTTTCTTCTTTCATTTGATTGAAATTCAGCACCACATTTTCCTTTCTCCTCCTCTGGGTCCACCTGGGCCTTGCTTTGGACTTTGGATTTTACTGTTTCATTTCCTTTTCAATTAATCCATTGACAAAATCTTCGCCCGTCAAAACTTCTCAATAATTTTCTATTCTATGGAATGGAAAATTATTATTCTCCTCAGTACTCTCCAGAATTAAAAAAACTGATAAAAAAAAATTAATAAAAAAAATTTTTTGCTCGAATTGCATTAAACACCCTTTTTGGACTTCTTCATTTTGTCCCACTCTCTCCTACGTAATTAACGTTAATGCATAATGGATTCCTTGCAATTTTTACCCTCAGTTATTATTTTCGATATTTTCAATTTTGAGGAAGTCAGGTAGGAGAAAAGCAATCTCTGAGTCTCCATCATCAACAAATATGTCAAATCCAAGATTATCTCAATATCAGCAAAACAAAGTCAAAATACTGGTCTCATGAAAAAAAAAATTACTCAAAGTCCCCTTAAAATCAATTATCGCCGAGATAATTAAAAAATGAATACATGACAAATTAACTCGTTCTGACACGTTTCACCTCTATCAAGCCCATCAGACAGCGAAAGACTCTTCACGTTGCTCACAAAACATCCAACGAAAAAGTCCCTCAACATCTGCGGAAATCATTCATTCATTCTCAGAATAATTAAACAATTGAGCCCGAGTGGATTATCCTTCAAACGTTATCTCCATTGTTTTTCCATCTTCATAAACAAAAATATTTACCAATTTTCATTTGATTTCATATCATGCAGGGGTCTCTAAAAATTATGATTATGTATTTTAAAAAAGTAGAAGAAGTACTGAACATTTTTAATAAAGTTTGGGGAATAAGTCCGACAGAGAGTGAATTGCAAACGGCCATTTTATTATGGCAATTGACGATCTGACAGATATTAGATTTTAAATGAAAAAATTAAAAAATTAAAAATTGGGAAAATTTTTTTAAAACGAAACTTGAAAAAAATTGTTTTTGGATAGAACGGATCCGAGTTTCAATCTCATTTTCCAATATGTTTCGTAAAAATAGTCATTTTGGGTAAGAAAAGAAAAAAATCTTCCATGGAGGTGGGAGCAGGGGATACCACGCACAATTTTCTAGTTTTTTGACGATTTTAAAGCATTTCCGACTGTGTGAGTTAATTGGCACCCTGCTCAATCGAAAGAACGGAGAATTTCCGCCGGAAATACATATTGAAAACCCGAAAAAAATTGATCTCTGCTAAGACGCAAAATGTTGCCAAAAACTCATAAAATTAAAAAATTAACGTTGTGGCCGTAATAAAATTTGCAAAAAAATGGAAAAAAATTGTTGAGCCCTTTTGAATGATAAGAAAGCCGCTTCGAAAGCCTCAACGAAATTAAATTTTTCAAAAAATTCAGCTTGTTAGGTGCTGACAAAATTAATTTATTTCCTCAGTGCTGAATCTCCCACTCAATCAAGCTCATCATTCCCAGAAATTCCCCCTAAAACCTTCCCAATTAAACTGTTTACCACTGCGACTACCTGATAAGCAGCGACAAACAAATTCTCCTTAATTATAATGTCGGATACGCCCTTGAGAGTGGCTGGTACCGCGACATTTGGGTCGCTGAGAATAACGTCCGCAAAGCCAGCCCATTGTCCAATATTGAAGGGCTGTGTCTTCGCAACGACATCATGCATCATCTGCCTGAACGTCAGATACAGCCCATCGATACTCCTCATCTCGGACTGAACCCTGGCCCAGATCCACAGAGAATTCAGTGAATTCAGATGTCTCTGGCCGGTCCAGGGCGACTCCTCATCGATTTTCGTGGCAAACTTGTCGTACGTTTGGATGAGACTGATGTAATTGTCATCACCGGCATCACGACCCGTCCTGTACTTCTCATGTGCAGCCTTCAGTTGGAATAGGTCATTCCTGAGCTTGTCGACGCTTGAAAAATCGTCCTTCGATGCCCACACGAGGGTCACCAGGCAGAACAACATAATGCAGGGCTTCCCCATGATTTCAACGACTCCACTAACTTTTTATCAACTAATTCACTCCACTCATTGAATTCCAGTTGTGTCTGAGTTTAGTTATTGCAGCGAAACACTTCTGCTAATTCACGCACGCGTGGAACCTTGGTAACACCTTGTTTCTGCTGTAGTGCAGGAGGAAGTGACTCAACAAATGATGAAAAATTGTTGAATCGAGGTTTCTTTGTCCCCTTGGGGGGACTCAACTGCTTAGCTGTGCAGTATTTTTTATTTATTCGGATTTCCTTGGAGTTCTTGGGGGTATGAATCAACTGGTGTCCACATTATACACACTAAGATGCAGTTATTATCACTGCTAGGACGCTGAATCGATCACAAGGGTTCATTGTGATTTATTATTTTATTTCTGAATTTTTATTCGCGATCTTTGAACCGCTTGTTCAGGTGTTTTCGCGCTGTTTCGGGAATTTGGGCGACGAAGGAATGCTCGATTTCTGGTTAAACCGCTCACTTTCCCATTTTATGCGCAAACATGCAACACCCGAGTGCACACGGCAACAGGAGTTGAACTGACGTCTCTCGGTTTACAGTTTTACCCCTACCATTTTTTAGGGAGAGAGAGGGAGAGATGGCGGTCTTTGTTGCGGAGGAGTATGACGCGGTGTGAACGACACTGCCCCCCTTTTATTCGCCACTTTAGAGGGGTAATTTAGATGATCTGCAAGTTGTTAGGCTCGTTGGTGTGTTATTGGTAGTGACAGTTGGGAATTTTTTGCCTTCGGTTTTTCAATGATTTTGGGAATTTTCGAAGTTCATGAGAGATTCTTGATTAGGTATTTTATTTTTCCTCTGGGAAGGTGCAGAGATAACGAGGGCGACACATTTATTGAATGAGAGTTTTCTGCACTTTCTTGGATTAATTATCGAGGATTGAAGAGAAAAATGGGAGTTGAAGGGAACAAATTGGCAAAAATACTTTGCCTTTTTCTAAAAATAAGGAAATTCTCAACTTCACGGAGAATGATGTGCAAATTGGTGGGGATCGTTGGTGCATTAGTATTAGTGCCAGTTGGGAATTTTCTGCCTTCGGTTTTTCAATGATTTTGCGAATTGTTCGAATATTTGATTTTTTCTTCTGGGAAGTTGTGGGGAGTACGAAGGCGGAAAATGCATTGAAGGGAAGAAAATGGCAAAAACATTTCGCCACTTTCGAAAAATAATAAAATTCCCAATTTCACAGAGAATTCCCGGGAATTTGTAATTTTTGAGCAGCAGAAAAACGAAAATTCCCCAACTCACTTGAATTTTCAATTAAAACATGAATATTCATTATAAAATGAGGCTAAATTTTCCTCGTGTATATTAATTGAAAAATTAAATTATTTTGTTCATCAAACTGGAGATTTTCAATGATAAAATTCTGTGAACTTTCAGAGCAATTGTCATCTGATGAAATTTCTTAAGAAGTGTAGGCGGGAATGGGGCAAAATAGACACTTTCGAGTTCTTTTGAAATATTCGTAATTTAGAAACAAATGGTTAATTGAATTCAGCCTCAGCTCATCACAAAAAGGAAGAGTTGTACTTTCCAAATATTAAGAAAAAAAAAATCGTATTTCATCAAAAATCCAATGAGTTGTGAAGATTGAAAAAAATATTGTAAATGTCCATTTTGCCCCACTCGCCCCTACCGAAAATTTTGGCCGAAAAGGTCTATCTGAAAATTTGAAAAAACTATGGATTCATCTTGAGAAATTGCAAAATTATTTCTGTACTCTTGGTTTGAACAGTTTTCCATTCATTGATTTCATTGAATTCGATAAATTGATATAAATTCTACAGTTTCAATGATGTAGTCAAAGAGACATCAGGAGAAAATATTGTGAATCTGCAATTTCTTATCGATTTCCTTTGGTTCACTGAAGACAAAAAAGATGCTCTTTTGAATGAAAATCTAAGTTCTTCGTTAATTATGAAATTATCTCCAGAGTGATTTTAGGAGTTGATGTTGAAAGATTTTCTTTATATGAAATTATCTGGACGGCAAAAGGGAACTTGTGACATTCTCTCTCGGAGTCGCTCATCTCTGACATCATTAGATAATTAACGAGATGTCCTAAACACTTTATCACGATTCACTAATACGGAAATGATACGAAAGATCGTAATAAGAAGAGTTTACACTAACATGAGGAGATGTTCCTACAAGATTTTGTTGCGATTTTTGAACTCGTTTGAATTTCATAGAAACATTCCTCATAAACATTCCCCATAAATGCAACATTTTCTGACGAAAAATCATTGAATCCAAAACGTTGAACAGAAAATGCAATGAGTTCTTAATTTTTCCCAAATTAATTCACTCGCAATCAATCATAAATTATCGACTCAAAAATGGACACTAAAATGGACACTTTAGACTTTCTTAAAATTATTCATAACTCAGAAATAAATTGATCAATTGAGCTCAGTTTAGGCTCGTCACAAAGGAAAAGAATTGTTCTTTGCATTGGAAAAAAAAATTATTAAATTTCATCAACATTTCAACCTCTCATTAACACTAAAAAAAAGTCAAGTGTCCGTTTTACCCCAATCTCCCCTACATACATACACACATACACACGGACACGTTCTAAAAATTGCAATTTCGGACTGTTTGGATCATAATGGGTCGATATAACCCAAAAAACCCAAAACTTAAATTTGAACGATTACAATAGGGGAGAGTGGGGTAAAATGGACACTGGACTTTTTTTTAATAACTCATAACTCAGAAACGAATTTATCAATAGGCCTCATTTTAGGCTCATCACAAAGGGCAACAATTTCTTGCATTGAAAAACAAATTAATAACTTTCCTCACCATTTCAACCTGTCATTAACATTTTTTAAAAACTCAAAAGTGTCCATTGTACCCCAACCTCCCCTACTCCCATTCGGAAGCAAAAAAATAGTAAAGCAAAACCCCAACGGCTGAAATCACCACCTAAAAATAATAAAACCCATATTCACCTGGCTATTATTCGCAAGTAGCGCGAGAAGGCCACTGTCAAATTGTCCAAGGGGCACGAGTAACCGATGAATGGACTCGAGTAAGTCCGGAAGATCCCCATAAGCATTGGACACACAAGACTTCGCGAAATCCTTCATAGTGTAGCCCTCGTACTTCACCGGAGCTAAGGCATAATCAAGGAACCTCCTGTAGAAATCATCGATCCTCCCCAGATACCGATTCATCTCATAAAGATTCCTGTCCAGCTGTTCCCTCCGGGGCAGTTCCCTCAGCAGAACATCAATGATCTCCCCAGCTCGTTGATTGATCGTCACCTCCAGATTATCCAGCCTCCGATTGACAGTGGCGATCTGCTCCATGAGTTTCCTCTCCATTTTCTTGATGAATGGAAAATTCAATTCACTGTCATTCTGGGAGCCCTTTCGAATCCACTCCGCCGACTCCAGGGCGCTGATACCGATCTCTCGACCGAGGACGAGCATCTCCCGGATATCTCCAAAGTCGAGGTTGAATGAGGCCGTTCTTTGTCCATGAATCATCAGCAGAAGGGCAAAAGTCAGGAAGTGCCTCCCCATGTTGTCTAGTTTCTGGCTGTAACTGTGTCGCCGAGTTCCCGGAGTAAAAAATAGTAATAGGACGTGTGGAGGTGGCCAGGGGACCCCCAGGAGGTCGCTGAACCTTCCGAAATGGTCTCTTGTTGACGAGAAAAATTGACAATCGAGGGGGGGACGATATGTGGACTATGGCGCCATGGATACTGACTCTGAGGTCTGGGATTCCGCTGGATTTATGTGAAAATTGCAATTATCAGGAGTAAATGTGTGCGGCTGGTTCACGGGATGGTCGGTGTGAATGGAATCGTTTGGCTGCGCGAAGACCATTGTCGTAAGGCTACAACTTTTGCTGGATTGGCCCATTATTTTGGGGGAGAGACGCCACTGGTAATTTGTTCTGACCAATGGGGAAGAGGATTACTGGAGGATTATTCTCATGAGCTTATTTTAAAGGTTTGAAGTCTTCACGGGGAATTCGTAATCATTATTTCATTTTTGGCTTCAAACGAGAGGGAAAATAATTAGTAAGTATTAATGGATTTTTAGAATACAGCATATTCTTCTTTTTTTTGAACAATGGTTTATTTTCACGCGTTTCGGGACTTGTTTGGGGCTCTGCATTTGAATTCTGCAGGGGGTTAGGCTGGTACTCATTGTCAGTTGGCAGCACTGTTTAAAAATAGAGGGAAAACAGCCGTTACGAATAACATTCCCAAAGCATCGACGAGTGCGAGTGACTGTTGGATGTTTGGCGGTTGATGTTTGGAGATTTATCGAAGTTTTGATGGTCTATTTGATTGATTATTGAGGTGGAAATTTGTGGAGAGTGATATTGAACGTGCGGAGGGTTGAAGGCGTTTGGAGATTCGGTGGAGAATTGCAGGGGGGTAGGTAGACACGTGTTTTTGGTTAGTTTGTCTAGGCGCCAAAGCGCTTCCTAGTCTCTCCACCCTTTGTTCGAAGGAAAACAAGGGAGAAATGTTGGAAAAATTTAGAAATTTTACCCTTAACATTTGCAACAATCAAGCTATTGAATGAAAGAACTTTATATCAAAGTCTTTCTAGAAAATTCAGGAAAGGGTTCGTTTGACTGATTGGAAAGTTATAACCTTTTTTGTGGAGCCGATTTAGTGCTACAACAAATGTAATTACGAAAATTTCGCTATCTCCCTTAGATTCGGAATTATTCCTCAAAAACTACGAGATAAGTTGACTTATCTCCGTTTACCACTTCACTACTGAATTCATTCCCTAATTCTGCAGTTATTTCGAGGAGTGGTTTCATGAGAAATCCTGTGAAGACCAAATTTAGTGTCAACAAAATTTATCACGAAAAAAACCTCTTGGCTTTCCTCTAAGCTGATTCGTCCCCAAGAACATTCCATCGAAATGGACACACGATCCCACCCGAATTAATATTACAAAATTACAAATTTTCGTTACAATTCAATAGCGAAGTGGTAAAACGGTTTAAGTCGACTTATCTCCCAGTTGAGTTGTTGACGAATATTTCCCAATCTAAGGGGATAAGTGAAATTTTTGTAACACCTTTTTTGTCCAGCGAATTGAGAGCGGCAAAAAAGGTTCAGTCAAAAATTTTGCTATCTGGCTTAGATTCCGAGATATTCACTGAAAACTGGTCAATATTCAAAATTGACTTGAACCGTTTTACCACTTCGCTACTGCTACAATTGTCCGTGATTGAAACCATCTCTCCGTAGATCTACATCAACATCACCAACCAAATCAGTATCATCGTCCTCACGCATGCGATTTCTCTTTCAGATATTCAGGAATAAACGTGTGACATCTCCCTTTTATACAAGAAAAACGCTCTTTGAAAATGTTCACTATTTTTCACCTTATTTTTGATTCTATAATCATAATTTAGGACGTCACTGCTGCGTAAAACTGACTGGCACTTGGAGCATGTTTTAGATAATCAAAATAACCAAAGCCATTCAAGATCTGATGGCATTTTTTTACACATTTCCCCGCTGAGCAGTAAACAATCCTCATTTTTTTCCAGACTAAGACCATCCCCTCCAGCAAGATGTCGTCGACCGACAGTGGAGTAGGGGAGACGCACACCCCCCGCCTCCAGAAGCGTCTCTTTTCAACCGGAAGCTCCTCAAAACGCAAGCTCTTCCAGAACCCAAAGCCCTCCGAGCCCCCCTCCCAACCGGGCTACGAGTCCGACCTAGGTCCCATGTCCCCCATAGCCCACTCAGACAAGAGCAGCACCACCAGCTCCCCAGGTCGTTCCTACCACTCCCCCTTCACCACCCCCGAGTGTTCGCCAAAGTCCCAGCCGCGCCATTGGGATCGCCTGCGCCCCCCGATCCGCGAGAGCTACAGACTCTCCCCCTTCAGCTCCCTCAAGAAGACCACCCGCAACGCTCGATCCTCCCCAGGACGTCGTCTCCCCCCTGGCTCCCCAGGCTCCCTCCCAGGGACCCCTGACCGCCTGAAACGTCACCAGATAATCCCAGGCACCCCCGAGAGCACCGAGAACATGATAACAGAGGATGGAATAATTCCAGAGACTCCCCAGAAGGACCACGACATAACAGACACCCCAAAGAGGGCAAAGAACCCAGAGAGGAGGCTGATAACTCCTCTAGGTTCTGTCTGCAAGAGCATCATCGTCCCTCCCCTCAATCGTAGGAAGTCCCTGGGTCCCTTGGACTCTGACGAGACATCTCCAGAGAGAATCACCCAGAAGAGACACCCGAATGACGATCACCCTCACTCAGCAGGGGCCAAGCTCATGAAGACAGACGATTCCTCGTCAATCCCCAAGGCTCGAGCCTCCCTCTTCCCCGAGGAGAAGAACGAGAACACGAGACCCATTACCCTGAGCACAAAATCATTCTACAACAAAACTCCTGGGGATGATGGGACCAGGAGATACTCCATGTGCTTCGGCTGGAGGAGCACTGGAGCCAAACCGAAGAAGAGGCACAGCTTGCCCAGTGGTGGGAGACGATCTGGGGGGCACAGGAGGCAGAAGTTTGGGGAGATCAATGCTGGGGTGACTCACGGCATCAAGAGGCCCAAGCCCAGGAAATCACTGGTCAAGACTAAATCTCCTAAGGAGGAGAGGAAGGAGGAGAGGGTCCAGAGTTCGGATTCTAGTCCTGAGGTCAAGAGGTTGAGGGAGGCGAAGGGGGAGGGGGATGCAGCTCCCAAGGTGATGAAGGTCATTCCGGCTGTGGAGAGACCTCCGTCACCCGTTGTTGATCCCACCAAGAGGTTCTTCAAAACCAACAGGACGATGAAGAGCCAGAATGTCGCCACTGTGACAGTTAATAAGAATATCAAGCTCAGGGTGGCTGATGGGGTGATTAAGCTCAATGAGAAGAAGAATATGGTGAGACCGGTGCTGAAGAAGCCGAGGTTGGAGGCGACCTTTGACGCTAATGACTTGACGGTGGATGAGCCCGAGGTTAATAATGAGGTGCAGCAGAGCGATGTCATGGACATCCTGAGGGTGCTGGAGGACGACTGGGGGTACGATGAGTATGATACCATGGGACCTCTGGTCAACAATCAGGCGGTCAGGGCGAGCCATGTCATGATGTCACCGGGGAGTGTGCTCAGTGATATGACTTCTTCTATGAATATTGAGGATCAGGGGAATGTCGAGGCGGAGGACGAGGGGATCGACAGTGGCGAGAAGTTCTACCCGTTGTTCAGTAAGGGCTTCAAACCAGCGGTTGAGTAAGTGCAATTTTTTTTGGGGATTCTGGTTTAGGGAGGGGTGCTGGCTTTTGGTGATTTGTTTCGGGGGTGAGAGGGTGGAAGACAGACTCTTGGAATTGTACAAATTAAAGTTTTGGTTTTTTGCGTTAGCCAGTATGATCCCAAAGTCTGAAAATGCAGTTTTGATAATTTCAGTGATTCTCTGGACAAGAAATCAAACAGAGGAGTGAAGAGACAGGCCTGGCAGCTCTCGACCAAAGCAAATGGAGGAATTGATCAGTACCAACTTGATGCTGGACAGAAACGATTTGGAACGACTCAATGTCTCGATTGTGGGATTGTCTATCAGATTGGAGAGCCAGAGGATGAGAACGCACATCTAAACTACCACAACAGCTTCAAAACTCTCAAGTTCAACGTGAGTACTTTCACAACCATCGTAAACACGGACTTTTGGTTTTATTCCTCTCTCCACAATTTCTTTGAAATATTTATTAGTCAATGGTGTTTTAATTTTGATTATTCAGGGTTGGAAGAATGAACGAGTTGTGATGGAAGACCCCATGACTGGGAGTCGCATCATAACTATCGAGAAAACCGACCCAAAGACCTCTTGGAAAAAGGTTGAGGATGTCCTTGCTGTCGTTGATCGTGACTTGGGTCTAGCTGACATGGAATTGACAGACTACCATGACAAGAAGATTTATCTCTATATAAGGAATAAGACTATTTTTGGGGTTCTGATAGCTGAACCTGTGAAGACTGCACACAAGATGATTCCAGAACTCGTGGAGTTTGATTGCTGTTCGACTGAGGATACCCCTGTTAAATGTGGGGTTAACGTTATTTGGACAGCCATGAGCCATCGAAGACAGCACATCGCGACGAAATTGCTCGATGCTCTTAGGTACCATATCATTTTTTTAAATTTTCCTCCTCCCAAATTTTTCAACGTTTCGTTGAAACGAAGGAATAATTATGGACAGCTGATATTATAAAATTTCATTCAATGTCTCTTAGAGATTTTACCCATTGTAAAGATTATAAATTCCATTGAAGTGGTGGGAAATTTGTTTAAATTATAAATTTATCCCAAAAACAATGATTCTTATCTAGTCTCATCTAGGAGAAAATGTCAAGAAAGTCGTCTCCAAAGAAAATGTCTCATGATTTTGTCTTACAACTACTCATTCTTGTAATGATGTCAACACAGAATTTCTAACTCGGATTAACTCTCCAATTATCGAATCTAATTTAAAAAAATTTTGTTGCAGAACTAATTACTTTTATGGATACATTCTGACCCTCGACGATATTGCCTTTTCCATGCCAACACCGACAGGAAAAATATTTGCTGAGAAGTACACAAAGACTCGCAATTTCAAAGTCTACAGCTAAACATTTTCTAAAAACTTTTTTCAATTCCCAGTGCCTTTTTACCTGGAAAAACAACATTTGATGCCATTTTGAACCCAATGACTTTTATATATCATTTCCTAAGTTTGTCTTCTTTTTGTTTTCAATTTACAATTGAATATTTATACTTTTTATGTCCATTATTTTCATTAAAACGACCTCATGTTTATTTTGTGTAGTACTACTTTAGAAATAATCTAGGGAACAATTGTAGACATGATTGTACTTAGTGTTTTTTTTTTATTTTTGTATGAAAAATGAATATATGAAATACAAACTCTTTGATCAACATTTGTACATGATATATAACATTTCCATATTTCATATACTATTATGATATAAATCACAAAATGTTATGTAACAAGATAATGACTTATCGGTCAAGCCTCGTTTCAATAAACTGAAGAATACTCAAGTGTCAAAGCTCTCGATCACTTTTAATCAACTTTGAACTTCAATTTGTCGCATTAATTCGCGGCAAAGACTTAGGAGCTAACCATGGTAATCGTTAAATAAAACAAATCATAAAGTATTCAGTCTCCTTGACTTGCGAAAACAAAACGTAAGAAAAAAAACATAATCCCGTGTATCACACGAGTTAAATAATCAAAAATTGACCTGGATAGTCGGTCCCATATTCAAAACTGAGGCTATTTACCTTTCACTAGTTAAAACGATAATTTACTCTTCACTCATAGAAAAGGTGGAACGATTTCAGTAGCGAAGCGGTAAACCGATTTAAGTTGATTCAAGTTAATTTAGACTATTGCTCAGTTTTTAATGAATATCTCGGAACCTAAGGGAGATAGCACATTTTTTGTAATAACCATTTTTGTAGCTCTCAATTCACTCTACAAAAAAGGTTATAATGAAAATTTCGCTATTTCTCTTACATTCGGAGATATTCCTCGAAAACTCAGCGAAAAGCTAAGTCGAGTTAGACCGGTTCACCACTTCGCTACTGATTTAGCTGCTGTTAACGAGGCTCCTTAGCTACTATAACGATTCGTTAATTATTAGCAAATCGTGGTAACAGTGGAAAAGCCTCGTTAACAGCAACTAAATCCTTCTATCAGCATTCAACTGAGGTTTTGCATGAAATTTACATACATTTGTTTATGAAAATTACTAGAGACCTATTTTTCCTTGTCATAAATAATGAAAAATTCGTGACAAGTTATCAACAATTTACTTTCAAAAACTGCTATAAATTTTTCATTATTATATTTCCAAAGAAAACGATACATATCTCATAATTTCAGTTCAACTTTTGTATTGATCACTGAATTCAATGGTAAATTTCATGCCAAAACCCAATTATCCATAAATAAATTATGAAAAAAGTTGAGACTATTCAATCAGCTGAATGATCAACTTATTTTTGTGTGAAGATAAAATATAATTTTGAACGTATAAAAAATGGCAGAGATTACCATTTATCTCGTCGACCCCCTCCTCTCCCACCCCCCCTGCCGCCACCACCTCGTCCACCCCCACCGCCACCCCCATAACGTCCACTGCCTCCTCCGTAGGACCTGGCCTCTCCTCTCTCCTCGTCCTTCCTCTTCTTCCAGGCTTCGTACCTGTCAGCCATGCCGTAGAGCTCCTCAGGTATCTCCTGACTGGCCTCCTCCAGGATGGCGATGAGCTCTCTGGCAAGTCCCCAGTCTCCCCTGGAGATCAAGCTTATGCTCTCCCCTGTCCTACCTGCACGTCCAGTCCTTCCGACCCTGTGGACGTATTCCTCAATGTCCCTGGGGAAGTCATAATTGAAGACGTGGGTGATGTCCTCGATGTCGATTCCACGAGATGCGACGTCGGTGGCGAGGAGAATCTTCACATCACCTATTTTAGGAGGAAAAAAGGGAGTTTAATGAATAGTGTTTTCATATTTGAGGGAAATAATTCAAGGACCATTATCGGATGGAAAATAGCACAAATTAGACATTTTTTGTCAAAATTTGATGAAATACACTGAGAAAAACAATTCTTTTTCCCAAATATTGATTTACTTGAGACGCATTTATTTTTTCGAAATCGTATTGCTCCTATTGTCATTCGCAGGCGAGCCTGATTAGGTTTCAATTATAACAATCATATTGCTCCAAGGATGACTTTGTTGCATTTGACCTCGGATGAACTCATCTTAAATTTCTTCGAATCTAAGGGAGATAGAGAAATTTTCATAGAAACCTTTTTTGTGGATCTTGATCCACTCTACAAAAAGTGTTATAACAAGAAATTTGCTATCTACCTTAGGTCCCGAGATATTTATTGAAAACTGACCCATTGCCAAAATCGACTTAAACCGTTTTATCGCTTCGCTACTGATATGATTGCATTTCTCGAGAATTAACTCTAGTTGGTTAAATTTTTTATGAATATAATTTTTAGGAACATAAAGAGATAATTTGTTTATCCATTGAAAGAAACTCAAAGTTTTTTTCGAATGCTTGTGATTTTGAACTAAAATCCTTAAAATAGTCTAAGCATAGCTTGAATTTTGAAGATTAAAATCTGAATTAAATTCTAAACGCCAGTAAATATGAATAGAAACATTCTGGTTGAGTTTTTACTCAATCGGCAGTCTAGTATTATTGACAAGAATTATTGTGGAAGGATAAAAATAACAGAGAGTCTTATGAGAAAATGAACTTTTAAAGGGTTAGGAAGAAGATTAAAATTTACAAAAAATTTAGAAAAATAGGAAAAAGTAACTAAAAATTAATACTCAACATAAAAACTATCGTCAGCATCAAAATTTGGAATAAATAATTTATGTTTCTGCATGCCCAAAATGGAGTGTTATATCACCTAGCACTCTAATCAAACAAGAGATTATTGTTTAAAAAAATAATTGAGGAAAGAATGTGATGGATCAATTTCTTACACTCATCAAAGTTAGAATTCATGGGTAAAAGTATCAACAATGAACAATTTTTTTCGAAGCTTTTTGAATTTATTTTTCTTCGTTGCTGTAAGCATTCAGCAAGGAATGAAATCGATTTGTCATACCTGATTTTATGTCATCAAGTGCCTGCTCTCGATCAATCTGGTCACGCCCCCCATGGATGCTCTGGGCCTGTACCCCAGAAAGAGCAAGTTCACTCGACAAATCGTCAACTCGAGTCTTCCTCATGAAGAAGACAATGACTTTGTCCTCCCTCTTCATGTTCTCAAAGAACTCCCGAAGGATCTCGGTCTTCTCGTCGTCGTTACAGATGATGATGGTCTGTTTGACAGTGTGGGTGGCAGCTAGGTCCAAGGATCCAACGCAGACTTGGATCGGATCACACATGTAGGATTGGGCGAGTCTGCGAACCCCCTGGGGCCAAGTGGCACTTGTCATCACGGTCTGACGATCTGGACGCACGTCCAGCAGGGTCTTGCGTATCTGGGGCTCGAATCCCATGTCCAACATTCGATCTGCCTCATCCAGAACGAGATACGTCACCTCCTTAACGTTCAGGGAGCCACAGGCCACGAGATCGTTCAGTCTTCCTGGGGTTGCTATCACGATTTGAACACCCTTATCGACTTTCGCCATCTGTTCCTGACGTGAGCCTCCACCGTACAGGCAAACTGCTTTGATACCCCTGTACTCGTACTTGCCGACCTCCTTGCTGATCTGAAATAATGTTTGTTTTAATGCCATTATGTCGAAATTAAAAGATGATTACGATAGATATATTGATTTTTATGATGATTGTTGAAAATTTCTAGTTTTTTATGAATTTTCCTGAACATGAGCTTTCTGAAGCTTTCTTCAAATGTGATAATTCAAATTCATTCAAGTACGTATAAATGAAATTTTCAAATTTTGAAATCTGATTGAAAAAAAATTAAATGAACAAGGAATTATACATGATAGAAGGAAATGATGTACAAAATACGCATTCGGAAGCATATTGCTAATAATAAATTAGCAATAATAATAAATTAATATAATCTACTATACTATACTCTACTCTTACTATATTCTAATATAGTTATTTTTGCTAATAATAAATTAGCAAAAATAACTATATTAGAATGATTAGAATGATTGTACACACATAATTGAAAGAACTTAATTTTGAACGATGACAAAGCTTCCACTCACAAGTAATAATAGCAGTTGAAAATGATCAAATACCTGTTGCGCCAGTTCTCGTGTTGGAGCCATGATGAGGACATTAGGTCCTGCCCTCTCGTTCCGAGGGACTGGTTGTCCATCGATGTGAATCATAGCTGGCAGTAAAAAGGCGAGAGTCTTTCCAGTTCCAGTCTGGGCAATCCCAATCATATCCCTGCCACTGAGAAGAATAGGCCAAGCCTGGCACTGGATAGGACTGGGGTCAGCAAACCCAGCCTTCTTGATCTCACCAAGAATCTCAGGATAATTATGGAATGCGTGATGAAACGATGTGATTGGATTCGGCACCTTGAACTCCTCCCCCTCCTCGAAGACTCTACGACACTCGATATTGTTCCTGGTGGCACGAATCTCAGCAATTTCCTCTTCAGTGAGATCTCGCACCTCTGGCAACTCCACGTAGAAGTCCTTCTTCATGGGTTTGAGGTCCTTCCAACGCTCCTTCTGGAATTTCTCGTGTTCCTCGTTGGCTTTTGTCCAATCAAAGTCTCCGAAGTCTAGGGGATCGCGCTCCGTGGTTGCAGGGGGAGCAGCTTGGGAAGACTGATCTGCTGGCTGACTGGAGAAGTTTTCATAGTTTGTGTTTCGAGAGGATGAATATGAGGATTGCGACTGCTGGTCACCAGTCAATTCTTCTATGAGAGCTTTCGCACGGTCCTGAGACTCCTTTGAACCTTTGATGTTCACTGCTGCATCCTCTCCTTGGGATGATTTGTCAATCTGTTTGGGAATAATGAGGGATGAGAGACAATTGTTGAAAATTTATTGGAAATTTTATTTTAGAATAATTTGAGACTGACTAACTCTAGTGACATTTTGAGAGATATTCCAACAAAATGGTGTTCGAATACAAATAGGAAGCTGAGGTCAGGGTTGCAAAAATATTACTAGTTTGTTTAAAATTAATTAATAAAATTTTCAACAGTGAATGTCCCGACATTGACCCAATTGGGGATGTAACATTTTATACGTAAATTTCATGTCACTGACCAAAGGCCAATTATTGACCATTTGTGGTCAGAAAAAAAGTGACGGATTTCAGTGTCACATAAATGACAAAAAAAAATCTTGACGGTCACTTTACATCTAGCTAGAACCAGTCAATTTTTCTCCCTCTAATTAGTTTAACATTCGCAACATTCATCATAATACCGTGTTCCTGCGACATTCGGCCCCCAGGAATCTCCAAATTTTAGTAAGGGATAGCTTCGAGAGGGTTCTTTAATTATTTCTTAAAAGAGAAGATTTACGAACAGATTTACGACATCTCCTTTTTATATAAGATAAGAATATTGAACTTACGCCTATTCTAGCTCCACTCTCCTCCTGCAGTTCCTTGATCTTGCATCCCCCACGTCCAATAATCTTCCCCACCATCTGCTGAGGCACGTAAATCACCATGGCTTCATCATTCCCATTGTTGTAGCTGCCATTTTCTCTACGAGAGTTCTGTCCATCTCTGCGATTGTAGCCATCATCCCTCCTATTATTGTAGCCATCATCCCTCCTCTTATTGTACCCACCTCCCCCACGATTGCTGAATCCATCATCCCCACGACGATTATTGTACCCATCGTCCCTCCTACCACTCCTCGCTGAATTCTTCCATTCGCGTGTTTCAAAACTACGTCCCTGATTATGTGAGGAGTCATTTCCGCTCACAGTAGCCGGACTGTCTTCCCATTCGTCGGCCATTCTGCAACAAAAATACCCCCGAAAAATTAAAAAAACAATCACTTAATTTTCCTCCAGCGAAACCATAGATAAATGTGGAGGTCCGCGTGAATAAGGCCCACTTTGCCAATTTGGAGTTATATACTCTGATAATATTGATAACATTCCGCACATTTTAAGCCAAAATGACTCACCCACAAAAAATAAACGAATATAGACCCAAACAAACAGATTACCTTATAAAATTCCTGAACCTTCACTGTTATGATTTTTTCAACGACCTGCTGGGATCATAGAGCAAGGGCTCTTGACGCGAGATTTTTCGCTAATATAATTATTAAACTTTTCTTCATTCAGGTAAGAAATTAAAAATTTGCATGGAAAAAATTAGCATGAAAGTCTCCGAGCATTTTCATGCAATTCTAAGAAATGCATCTCCTCGAAGTGCCGGTGAATCCTTCTTCTATCAGTCTTTCATCAACAAAATGCAAAACAATCTCAAATTAAACCACTCCAAACGATTTTGTGACGAATAAACTAGAATAGACCAATCCAACAAAATTTAACGACACAAAAAAACAAATGCAAATCTAAACAAACAGATTACCTAATAAAATTCCTGGACCTTTGTGGTTGATTGTTTCAACGACCTGATGGAACCACAGAGCAATGGCTACCTATGAGATATTTTTGGCTATTGTAGTTATCAGACTTTTTTCCTTCAGATTAGAAAATAATCCCCGAGGATTTCCATGCAATTCTAAGAATTACATCTTCTCAAAATGTCGGTGAATCCTCCTTCCATCAGTCTTTCATCAGCAAAATTCAAGAACGATCTCAATTTAAACCACTTCAAACAATTTTGTGACGAATAAACTAGAATAGACTAATCCAGAGGAATTTATCGACACAAAAAAAACGAATGCAAACCCAAACAAACAGATTATCTCATAAAATTCCTGGACCTTTGTTGTCGATTGTTTCAACGACCAATGGCTACCTATGAGAGATTTTTAGGTAGTATATAATTATTAAACTTTTTTTCTTTCAGGTTAGAACTTCATCCACGAGTATTTCCATGCAATTCTAAGAATTACTCCGCCTCAAAATGCCGGTGAGCCCTTCTTTGATCAGCAAAATGCAAGAACAATCTCAAATTAAACCACTTCAAACGATTTTGTGACGAATGAAATAGACTAGATACGTCCAGAGCAATTTATCGCCACAAAATAAACGAATATAGACTCAAATAAGGAGACTTACCTGATGCAATTCCTGGAGTTGTTATGATTTTTTTTAACGAGCTGATGGGACAAAGGATCAATGGCTACTGATGAAATTCGCGGGAATCCCCCTACCGATGGCCCTCACCTTTTTCACGGGCAAGTAGAGAGGGAAGTTCATAAAAAAAAAGACGGAGAAACGTCCAATGAGCAGCTTCGCTCGCGCAGGTTCGATTCTCTCATGCATTCTCATGATCCGAAGTTGACTGCAATTTCCTAGATTCCAACGAAATGTTTCAACCTCACGAGTCCATATGATTTTTATTCCAAAAAATGGAGTGAGTGGGATGAATCTACTTAATTGGAGCTCTGGAACGATCAAACGTGAGTGGTTATCATTTATTTTCGTTGTCACTTAATATTTTTTATGATTGAGTTGTAAATCATCTGAGGAATCAGCTGTAAGGTTATGACGGTGAATCATGTCTAATACGTCTATTCGTGGGACAAACTGCGCAAATTATGTATTACGTCACTTGAAAAATGAATTTTGATGTTGTTTTGTGAGTGGAGATGAGTTTGTCTGGATTTTGGGTAATTCTGGGTGATTTTTCAGTCATAGAATGGATGTAGACTTGGGTGGGAGGAGTGATAGCACTTGTACATCTCGAGGCTCTCCGAATCTACAGAATAAGCAGGTGTCGAGTACTTTAGAAATATTGATTATTGATATTGTTCCATTCTTTTGTTTAATGTAGTTTCATTAATTTGGGATTTATTCTTCTTTACAATAGAGAATTACCCCAAAAATTAATGATTTTAGAACAAAGTATCAAAAAGATGCCCTTCAATTTCACCCTGAAATTACTTGTTCACTCTCAAAATTACCGCAAAAATTTTATTTCGCCATTGCATTCCATATTTATATTCCACTTATTACGGCCCACAATGTCTCTTCCTATTTTCGTTCCAAAATCTCTCTCCATATTTATGGAGTCGCTCATTTTCCCAGATAATTGTATAATGATCAAACACTTTACGAGTCAAGTAACGAAACTCTTCTTTACAATAGAGAACTACCTCAACTATTAATGATTTTAGAACGAAGTATCGAAAAGATTCCCTCCAATTTCACCCTGAAATTATTAATTCACTTTCAAAATTACCGCAAATATTTTATTTCGATACTTCACTCCATATTTATATTCTACGCATTACGTTCCACAATCTTTCTTCGTATTATCGTTCCAAAATGTCTTCTCATATTTCTAGAATCACTCGTTTTCCGAGATAATTCGATAATAATCAAGCACTTTATTAGAGAAATAATAAACCTCTTCATTCCAATAAGAGAATTACCGCAAAAGGGAATGATTTTAGAACAAAATATGAAAAATTAAAATATGAGAAATTATTTGTTCACTCTCAAAATACCTGCAAATATTTTATTTCACCACTCCACTCCATCTTTATTTTCCACTCATTACCCTCCACCACTTGAGCAAAAAAATTTATCCGTTTTTACTACACATGCTTTATTATTATTTGTTTCAGTTGGTCCTGCATGCTGATCTGCACGGTATCAACACTGCCTGAACTCCCCTGCACAAAGCAACTCCAAACTCGTGTAATACCCTGAAAAAAAAATTTAGTTATCGTAAATGGCTGCCTACATCAATCGCACAATATCAATGATTGGGGGGGACGGCCAGCGACTCGGTAACGATGCTAGAATCGAGAATTCTCCCCTTCAGATATTCGTCAAGGCGAAGAAGAAGATCAATGACATCTTCGGGGAGATCGAGGACTACGTCCAAGACACCGTGGGGTTCATGGAAATCCTCAACAAGGATAAGAACAGTATCGTGAGCAAGGCGGAGACTGAGAGCATTCAGGGTTACGTGAAGAAGGTTCATGGAATCAGGGATGTCCTCAAGAGGGATCACATGAAGGTCGCATTCTTCGGGCGAACGAGCAATGGAAAGTCTACGGTCATCAACGCCATGTTGAGGGACAAGATATTGCCGAGTGGTATTGGTCACACTACCAACTGTTTTCTGCAAGTCGAGGGCTCGGAGAATGGAGAGTCCTATCTGATGACTGAGGGGACTAATGATAAGCAGCCTGTGCATTCTGTGGGGCAGCTTGGACATGCCTTGTGCAAGGAGAAACTTTGCGAGAGCCATCTTGTTAGGATCTTCTGGCCCAAGGAGAAGTGCCTGCTGCTCAGGGACGATGTTGTCTTCGTTGATTCACCTGGAGTCGATGTCACGCCTAATCTAGATGAGTGGATCGATAAACACTGTCTGGATGCTGATGTGTTCGTTCTAGTCGCCAATGCTGAGTCTACTTTGATGGTTACTGTGAGTGGATTTTGAATTTGAGGGATGATGTGTTTTTGAAACGTTATAGCTCTTTTTTTAAGAGTTGGATTTATTATCTTTGTATTTATCTTTCTCTTATATTTATTTTTTTGCACTTATCTTTTGTATTTATCTTTCGAAGGTCATCTTGATTGTTTTTGTATTTTTAATTATCTAAAATATTCTTTAATCGTCATTCAGTTTTACATAATGCGGGAATCCCCGGAAATTATGATTGTACAATAAAAAATCTGTTGAAAAATTACTAAATATTTTCAAAGAGCGTTTTTATTAATATTGGGAAATGAAGGCAGTAAGGAAGAAATTGAAAATGAATAATTTACCGTATCTAATGGTTGTCAGATTGTCTTTTCTCACAGTAATCAATGGCTTTATTCTCGAAAATCATTAAAAGTTTCATTTTTTAATGTGAAAAATGTTTTAAACTCATTCACAATCATTTTTAAAACGAGTCGTTCGATATTTCTGCTTAAAATTGATCATTCTTGAGAGAATTCCATACATAGAAGAGAATTGGATTGGGAAAATGGTTTCAAGTGAAAGATGTATTACTTTTAGTACTTTGAATTCCTTTCAATTGAATTTCCTCCAATTTATGTCTTCAATTTTTGTTGTTGTTTGCAGGAGAAGAACTTCTTTCACAAAGTTTCAACCAGATTATCAAAACCGAACATTTTTATTTTAAATAATCGATGGGATGCTTCTGCCTCTGAACCTGAATTTTTCGAAGAGGTGAGTTTAATCAGTATTATTTCCCATTACTTAAGAGGAATTGATAGGGGAAAAAAATGAAAATTAATAATGAGATTAATGTGTCTCGCATTATGGACACTAGCTGGCCAATGAGCAAAAAGAAGTAAGTTTTATAGTAAGAAATAAGAACGAGATAACTATCTGGTCTTTTGATGTGCTGAATTACTCGATCACTTATATACTACGTTAACAAGATAAAACTGGCACGCTCATATGACAAATCTAATGCATGAAAATGAAAGATCCTTGTGGATAATATGTTACTTGCTTACACTTCAATATAAATGGAAAATAATTGAATCAACAGTCGAAACTGGGCTTTTGATTCTAAAGAAACTTTTAGTTGTTTCAAGTGGAATTGAATTATGAATTTATCTGGTTTTTAGGTACGAGCACAGCATCAAGACAGAGCTGTTGATTTTCTAGCTAAGGAACTCAAAGTTTATTCACCCAAAGATGCGGAGGAACGTATTTTCTTCATTTCGGCGAAGGAAACTCTACAAGCACGAATGCAGGAGCAAAGGGGACAACCAGCACACAGTTAGTATCAAGTTAAAGCCCTGAGAATATATATTTTTTTTATCTTAAAAAATACCGAAAAAAGTCATAAATTGATCATGACTTTCGATAACGGAATTATTCGAAGATATTTTTCATGAGAAATTTGTCTTACAAAAAAATCTCTTGAACTTCTTCCCCGAGATCTCCGTTTCGAAGTTATCAAGACATATTTGTCGTAAAAAAATTTAAAAATTCAGAAAATCTTGGGATATATCTCCTTAAATTCCTTTTTCTTCAAATAAATACATTATTTGGGATTCCCATGAAATTTCGTAATTGTTGGACACGAAAAATTGATGAAGAATATGAGGAACTTTTCTGTTTACTTCTTTAAATAATGAAAAATAAGTAGTTTATAGGCAATTGCAAACGTTTTTATAACAATGTTATGCCAGAAGGGCCACGTACAAAGCATTATGCCGACATAATGCAAATCTTCTTTTAAAAAGGGATTTCATAATTTCATGATTTAGTAATGTCATCAACCTTAATAATGAAATTATCAAAAGACATTTTTTATCAGAAATTTTGTTGACTTCATAAAAAGTTTGTTGACATTTCTCCCTGTATTTTCCGGCTCAATAATATCAAGAGACATTTTTCATGTAGAATTTCATCAACTTTAGAAGATCTTTTTGAAAATTTTTATTGAACGGTTTGTGACGTCATAATCTTTAATTGGCAGTAGCTTCTTAGTTTTTCACGATTTTTCAAAATAAAAAAATACGCGTCTGATATTTTTTATCCAATGTATTTCATCATTCTCTCAATAAACGATTCTCATGCGACACCTCAATTCCTCCTCTTCCCCCAACTGAATAAAACCCCCTCATTTTCCAGATGGTGCCCTAGCCGAAGGATTCCAGAACCGTTACTTCGAGTTTCAAGATTTCGAGCGAAAATTCGAGGAGTGTATCTCAAAATCAGCAGTGAAGACAAAGTTCGAGCAGCACTCCCAACGAGGCAAGCACATTGCCAACGAAATACGTCAAACCCTGGACGACATTCTGACAAGAACCCAGAAAATGCGAGTGGAGCAGCTAGCAATAAAACAAGAGGTCCACGATAAATTGAACTTCACAGAGCAGCAGCTGATGCTGATAACCCATGAGATGAAGGACAAGATTCATCGAATGGTGGAGGACGTGGAGCAGAGAGTGTCCAAGGCCCTGAGCGAGGAAATTAGGCGTCTTGCAGTGCTCGTCGATGAATTCTCTGTTCCCTTCCACCCCGAGTCTCTAGTCCTGAATGTCTACAAGAGGGAACTCCACACTCATGTGGAGAACGGTCTTGGCTCGAACCTCAGGGCTAGATTGAGCACAGCATTGGCCCTGAATATGGAGTCCTCCCAGAGAGAAATGACAGAACGAATGTCTGATTTGTTACCAGATAACAAGAAGCAGCTGTCAGTGAGCATAATGCCCAGACGTGAGCCCTTTGAAATCCTCTACAGACTCAACTGCGATAACTTGTGTGCAGATTTTCACGAAGACCTTGAGTTCAGATTCTCCTGGGGTATCACTGCTCTCATCAACAGATTCGCAGGTAAACAGGGGCACAAACTGGCGATTGCCAATTATCCACAGGAAATACCACAGAGTCTGGTATCCCCCACTGACAGCATTGATTCAGTGAAATTCGTTACAAATCCAGTGAGTTTTCCACCGAGGAATGACGATTGGTCGCTTGCAACTAGAATCGCTGTTGCCTCAATCACTTCCCAGGGGACAATGGGGGGACTCATTGTCGCTGGGTTCATGCTGAAAACTGTGGGGTGGAGGCTCATTGCTATCACTGGAGCTGTCTATGGGGCTCTCTACTTCTATGAGAGGCTCACTTGGACTAATAAGGCTAAGGAGAGGGAGTTTAAGAGGCAGTACGTCAATCATGCTACCCAAAAACTCAGGCTGATTGTCGATCTCACCTCTGCTAATTGCAGTCATCAAGTTCAGCAGTAAGTTCAATGCATTTTTCTTCATTTTCCTTTCGAATGGAAGCATTGTAATCGTTCAAATTCAAGCTTTGGATTTTTCGTGTTATAGCGACCCATTATGATCCAATAAGTCCGAAAATACCATTTTTAGAAAGTGTCCGTAATTTAATTAACGTCGTAATTATTTCTCCAATATCTCCTGACCTTTCTTACATTAATTAATATCATCGAGATGAGAACAATCATTGAAAGAAAAGATCCTTCCGTTGAAAAAAAAATTGGTTCCACGGTTGGAAGAAAATTTTGATAATTATATATGCAAGAATCTGATCCCCAGAAGGATGTAAATGAATCGATTTGTTCTGGTACATTCGGTGATATAATAATCCAAAGTAAAAAAAAAGTTTATCAAAAAAAAGTTAAAAGAAGAAAGATTGTAAATAAATTTTTTCAAAAACATATTAATTATTCACAATGGAAAATCTCAGCTGGAAACATATCTTTACGTAACAAAACAGAAATCAAGTATCAATTTTAACTCCAATCACACATTATCGTTATTATTCAATAATTAATTCATAATTCATTACGCTCAATATAAAATACTGATTGAACTTCTGAAATTTTGGTAATTACATGTACAAGAACCTGAAAAGATGATGCTTCACTCTCCAAAATCTTGAATGGTCCATTTTACATTGTAAAACTTTTGAGAATTAATTCGTAAATATTTTTTTAGGGAACTTTCAAGCACATTTGCTCGTCTCTGCCACTTGGTGGACGAAGCCACATCGGAAATGGACACCGACCTCAAGACAATAGCATCAACCCTGAGAACCCTGGAGGAGGCGGCAACAAATGCCAAAGTATTGAGAAATAAGGCAAATTATTTGGCCAACGAGCTCGAGCTCTTCGATGCAGCTTACATAAGATCCCTCAATTGAATGACACGCAGTTTACATCGCTAGTACGTGAATTTTTAGATGTATACCGATTTTCTATGGATATCTACAATTTTTCTTGACAATAGGTGATTTTTTAGTTTAATGGAATGTTGAGCAACGGTAAATTCTAGTCCCGGCGTAGGAGGAGTGCCTTCCAGGGCTAATGATGAAAGAATTTATTCAAATTATTTTTCTTTCAATCTTTTTCTTTAGAATCAATTGCATAATCGACTCTACACATTGATTTTTTTTCTTTTTTCGATCGTCACACACGAATTAAATGTTTTCTTTTGACTATTAGACATCTGGGTAATTGAAAAATTCTAAGTCCTAATCGAGGATATATTTTCGAGATGTATATTGACGTTATCTGCCCCAGAGAGCGATTCTTACTTTTTTGTTTCAATTTCTACTTCTTATAGATAATATACATTTTTAGTTTAATAATGCGTTGTGTATATAAATAAATTACTGGATAATAAAATATGTACTGTTGTATGCATCAATTGTATCGATTTACGCTGGATCAACAAGAGATAACTTGAGAAATTTTCTCTGTTATGAAAAAATGTTATTTTAGCAGAAATCACTTTTAAACATGTAACGTGGGAGGTTTTCCAGTATTAATATTTTTGTCCGTTTGTGACGACTAATCCCGCCAGTCACGACTTTCCAGTTGTTTCCTCTGTGTATGTGACTGGGATGATACATCAAAATTTAGTAGAATTCAATACGTATAACCCCGTCCGAGACTCTGTCGGTAAAATCACCCGGTATTGTCACCTGCACCATATCATCCTCGTCTACCCAAAAAAATGACGAATTCATTGTGTTATCAACGGTTAAAGCACCTGAGACTTGCAGAACGTTTGTATTCACAGGTGAGACCATTAATCGAATCATTGGTAGTCATATTCATCGACTATTTATTCGATTTTTGGGATTTATCACAGGCACCTCCATCTAACCCCAAAAAGCAGGATGATAACTGGAAGACTATTGATATGGTTGGACCCCCAGACCCTGTCTCTAATCTAAGGCCCGTCGCCTTTGCAAAGCCTCAGACTGAAACTGAAGTTGAGAAAGAGTTTAGAGAGGCGAGAGAGGCCACTCAGGAGTGGAATAACAAATTCTGGAGTGAACACAATGCCCGGTTCATTGCTGTACGTTTAAAAAATCACTTTTTAATGCTTTGGTTGGACACGACAGGGGAAATTCAAAGAGGATTTCTTCTCAATCTCACATTCCATTTAGTTAGTTATTTATTTATTTATTATGTACTGTTATTAGTACATGGTATCATTCAGCAGGAAAGTACAATAGGGCAGATTGGGATAAAATGAACACTTGACTGTTTTTTTAAAATATTGATGAAATGTTGATGAAATTCAATCTTTTTTTTTCAATACAAAGAACAACTCTTTCCCTTTGTGATGAGCCTAAACTAAGCAATATTGATACATTTGTTTCTGAGTTATGAATAATTTTAAAAAAGTCTAGTGTCCACTTTACCCTACCCTCCCCTATATATTCTTTTAGTAGTGATATAATAATGCAAAGTAAAACAAAAGTTCATCTGAAAAAAGATAAAAGCAAATAGATTGCAGAGAAATTTTTCATAAAGATCTTAATTATTCACAATGGAAGATCTCAGCTGAAATTATTTCTTTGTGTAAAAAACGGAAATCAATTATTAATTCTAGTTCCAATCTCACATTATCGATATCATTCAATAATTAATTGATAATTAGTTGCACTCAACACGAAATATTGATTGAACTCTTGACATTTTGATAATTATGAATGCAAGAATCTGATCCCTGAAAAGATGTAAATGAATCAATTTGTTCTGTTACGTTCTCGTGATTTCCCTAGTGAATTCCATTCAATTTGTTCATTTTATTCGTTTTTTCTTGTAGGAACGCAAAGAATTCCAAAGCAAATTAAAAGCTGAAGGAAAAGAATCAGTGACTGCAGACGAGATGTCCGTCTTCTACAAGAAATTTCTAGATAGTAACTGGAAAAATCACGTCAATTACAATTACTCCTGGTACAAACAAAATATCAAGATTCTGTTTCTCGAAGTAAGAGTGAGATTATCGAAAATGAAGTTCAAGTGATTTTTTAATCAATTGCTACAAATGAATTATTTATTTCAAAGTATAATAAATGTTATTAAAGTGAGGTGAGTCTCTTATTCGTATTATTGGTACTTATTTGCACAATCTCAAGTAGTGTATTTCTTTCTTGAGACATTCAATTTCTTGCTCTTTCTGGTTCACGATAGACATTAAAAATTCGTGCTGTTGTATTTCGGAGTTCAGTTGGAATTGGAATTCATCTGTCGTCTCGCATAGTTTTTTTGCTGTGTATCTGGCAGCTATTAGAGCCTGTTGCTTCTTCTCGGAGAGAACATCGAGTTTTTCTTCTAGAACTTGACATTGATTACATTTTTTCGATTTTTTTGATTCGAAGTTCTGGGCTATTTCTTCTAGAGCCATTTTTAATTCGTTGTTTTCTTTTCTTATTGAGTATAGTTCATCGGATAAGGACTCGTACTCTCGAGCTGCTTGCTGAGATATTTTTTCGTTATTATGGAGGATCTGAAAATGAAATAATTTTTCTAGTTTACACTGTTAGAGAATTTTCAGGAGATTAATATTGAGTTCGAAGTAGGGGAAAAAATCAAGAGATGTCAAATTCCCGTGAAAATTTAATGGAATTGTATATTTTTCTGTGAAGTTTGCTTGTGAACTAGAAGCATTTTTTGAAGCTCCATCCATTTTTGAAATCATTAGGCCAAAACTTGAAACATCGAATGATTCAAATGGAATAGTTGCACGGAGAGAATGACGATGAAAATAGTTTTTTCTTACGGTTTTCAATCTGTTAATCGTTTCATTCTGATTGTCAATGATTTTCTCCTTCATCAATAATTCACATCTGCAGTCATCTTTACATTGGTCCATTTCTTTCTTGAAATTATCCACAGCTTTTGATTCTTCGTTTAAACAACGCTTCAGATTCTCTATTTCCTCTTGAAGATCTTTACATTCACAGCACTTGGATTTCAATCTTTTATCGGTGTCGGATAATTCTGTAGTCTGAATTAAATATTTCTATTAAGTATTCGAACTCCTCAAGTGATAGAAATCAAGAGACGATGAGATCAATGGTAACATGGATAATTCATTGTTTATTTCATTTTATTAAATTGAATAAGATTTCTCTCTAACTAATTTTGTCAGATTATCTACTTAGTTGAGTGCTGTCATCGTCATTATTCTTATTATTCTTTTCTTCTTTACAACCGAGTGTTTTTTTACGGTTCTATCTCTTCCCTCCACCTTTCGATAAAATGTGAATGGAAAAATGTTATCTATGCATACTTGAATGAATTTGAAACATCACGTTTGAAAAAACCATCAGAAATTTCGCTTTCAGGGAAATTCATGAAACATTAGAAATTTTCAACAATCATCATAAAAATCAAATCAACCAATATAGCTATCGTAATCATCTTTTAACATTAAAACAAACATTTTAAGCTATAATTGAATTCATTTGAAGCATGATGTTTAACGATATCCCCGGAATTCTGATTTTCAAAACATACAATTTTTTTGTAAATTTTCAAATAAATAAAAACAACGATTATTGATATCGCCTTCATCTTCGAACTCGGTCAAAAGGACGTTCAAATAATTTTTTAAGCCATCATTCAATCAATTCAGAACATTTTTTTAGTTATCGTGGGACAACGGATTTTCGAAAAAATTCGGAAATTAAAAAAACTAATCGATTAATTAAATTTTAATCAATCGAGATCGATAGAGCTCAACAATACCCAAATTTGAAGAAAAAAAAGATTCAATTTCATCCATTCATTAGCGAACAATTGAAGAAAAACTTTGCATTTTCGGACTTTTTGGATCATAATCGCTGGATTCAACGCAAAAAATCCGAAACTCTAATTTGAATGAATACAATTCTTCCATTCGCAAGCAAAAACGTCTGTCGAAATACCTTAGAAGAGAGTTTCTTCTCACTTTCCTCGAACTTAGATTTCTGCTTGGCACAAATGCTCGTCAACTCAGATATCTTCTTCTTCTGTTGCTTCACTGTGTTGGTCAATTCCAAAATTCTTGTGTTCAATTCATTTTTCTCATTACTCAATGAATTTTCCGTCTCCCTAATGATGTTCCTCCATTTCTGGACCTCGTTAGCGATTTCGGAATTCCTCCTCTCCTCCTTGTCCTCCACAGACCTCAATTTACCCGTCAAGTCCTCACTTTGACGTCTCAGGGATTTATTCTCAGTCGTCAGTTCCGAGATTTTCTCCTTCAAACCCTCGCACTCACGTTTTATGGATTTGTTCTCAGTCGTGAGGTTCGAGATTTTCTCGTTCAAATCCTCACATTCACGTGTTATGGAGTTATTCTCAGTCGTAAGTTTTGAAATTTGTTCCTTCAAATCCTCGCATTCGCTTTTTGTGGATTTATTCTCAGTCGTGAGTTTCGAAAGTTGCTCCTGCAATCGTCAATAAAAACTGCATCAATGAATCAGAGGAAGGAATGCATGTGTTACCTTTATTAAGTATTTACCTACTTGAAGAGAAGACACCTGGGCCACCGAATCAGCTCTGCTCCTCTCCAGAGTTTCATTTTCACTCCTCAGGGTATTTAAATTTTTCTCCAACTCTTCGACTTTATGTTTTTCGCCGAAAAATCCCTTTTGCAGTTCGTCGAATGTAACTTTGCCAGAAGAAACCGCATTCTCAGCAATTCCGGGGTTACTCACATGCGGCTCACCTGCCCTAGGAGACTGTTAACTTATAAATTACACAAATTGGTAGCGAAGGCTCCAAACATAAAATAAATCGATTTATTCCGGTTCTATACTCATGCGAGGATTTCAAAAGGAGAAAATTCCGGGGAAAATTTACGTGGTGTAAGAAAATTTAAAATTCCTTCGGTAGCTGCCGTTTAGAGCTACTTTGAACGCGTTCATTCAATTTTGCTATCACACGCTCAGTAAAAACACCTTCCAAATCCACCCAAAATTTGGCAGTACATCAAAAAGACCTTTTTTGTAGTGCGAATTGAGGGCTGCCCTGGTAAAACAGTCCGATTATTTCCGACTGGGTTTTTAATATTTATTGCTCATTTAAATATTTATATGCGTAATATGAGATCTATCAACCACTTTTTTGGAAAGTAATCGGACGATAACGGCTACATACCCTTGTTCCCATTAACTCTCATAATTTTCTCAAACTCCAAACTCTACCTACCAGCCAATCGGAATTTAACGGGCAAAGACAGAAACATCATTAACGCCGATTCATTTTTTATCACCTGTAATAAAATGAAAATAATGAAAACGGAAATAATTGGACTGTTTTACCAGGGTGCAGAAAGGTCATTGCTAATATTTTGCCATCTCCCTTCGATCTCGAAATATTCAATCTCAAAAAGAGTAAAGAGTGTCCATTTTGCCCCACTTTCCCCCTACGTAAACTGAATTTAAACAATTACATGGACCCATCAAGGGCTGCGAAGTGTTTCTCCGAAGATTTCGGTCTATCCGGGCGGTTCTTCTTGCAATGACAACATTTGGGCTTCAATTTTGGATCAGCAGTAGCAGGACAGGGGATCGTGATTTTGTGATGGGCACACTGGCAATGCTTCCTCGGTATCCTCGAGGGATTATCCACTGACATTTCTTCCAAGTTATACAATTTGAAAATATTTAATAGCTCATCATTCAATCTACAGGCGATGAAGGTGTTATGCATTCCAAAATTTCAGACATCATAACACTTTAATTAACTTATGAGACGTCAATCAAGATAAATCTCTATCACACATGCAGTCAACTTCACATTTATCCGAACTATGAGAGGAAATAAAGAGTCGAGCATTTATTTTTTTGCAATGGAAAGGCGGGGATTTCTCGACATTTTCTTCAGAAGACATCGTAATACTTCTCCAAGTATCCGGGTCAATTTCTGCTTCGTCCACATCCGCTAAGCAATTGCAATTGAACGAAAGTGCTTCAAATCCCATTGCAAAATTTGAATGGCAAGGGAATGGACGGAGTTGAGGAGATGTTTCTGGAAATGTCTCTTGAACTATTCTAGTTTCTAGAGATTGGGGGAAGAGGGAGGAAGACTTTTTTTGTAGCCAAGGTATCAGTAGCGAAGAGGTAAAACGATTTAAGGGGATAGAAAATCTAGCGACTTCACTAGAAAATTCTATTGGAATTCTATAGGATTTCTATGGGGCTTCTGTAGGAATTCTATTGAAAAATTCTATTTGTTTTTTGCGCCGATTCGATTGGATATTCAATAAGAAACAGTAAATAGATTTCGAATTTCTGTTTGAATTTTTCTCTTAGATTTTTTCTATTAGAATTATTGAGCATAAATTTTCCACTGGATTTTGTTTTGTTTTGCATTGCAGAATCCGAGTGGAAAAAACTTAGATATGTTAAAATCGTACAAAAACTACGGCGCAAATAGCATTTTGAAGGTAAAAACAGGAAAAAATGAAGTTTTTCGTGGTTATATGGGGCAAGATCGATTATATATGTAAACGAATAATTAGAACAAAAAATTAATTATTCACTTTTTGTTTGCCCCGCAGACGCTTGAAGTGTTCGAAATAGTCCAAAGCCTCCAATTTTGTTTTCAAAATTTTTGAAAAAAAATGTACAATAGCAGCCACGAGTTTAACTTTTTGAAATTTGACTGCAGCACAGCTAATTTAGTTTTTCTTTATTTAAAAAATTGCACAATTCAGGTAAAATAGCTAGAAAAATGTTTCTGAAAGAATCGAGAATATATTTTTAATATTTTGAGGATCATTTTTCTGGATATTTTACATAAATGGTGCAATTTGCTAAATAAAAAAAAAAATTTATAATTAAAAAAGCTAAATTAGGTGTGTGGGAGTAGAATTTCAAAAAAGCAATTCATAACTAGTGTACACTTTTCTCCTAAAATTTTGACAAAGAAAAAACTTCTGTCGTTTAAAAATAGGAGGAAAATCAGTTTTACATTCTACAACGCTAGACATTGTAGTATTTATTCATAAAACATTATCAATTATTAATCATCATTCGTCGGAAATTATGAATACTCATAAAATGTCAATCAAGATCGAGCTCCGATCACACGCAGTTAACTTCAGTAGAATAGAAATCATGAGTTGAAATAAAGAATTGAACATTTAATTTTTTGCAATGGAGAATGGGGGGTTTTTCGACGCTCTGTCGTCCTCAGAAGACATCATAACACTCCTCCAAACCTCCCAATCACTCTCCTCCTCGTCCACGTCCACCGATCAATCAAAGTCGATTGAAAGTCCATCAGGGAGTTTGCGGAGCCCATCAAGAAATCTAAATGAGGAGATTGAGGAAATTTCTCGGGGAAAATGGAGAAGGAAATTGAGGGGGATTGGGTGGAACAAATACATCCGTTGGGATTTACTCTTCACGTTTGGATTTATCTTATGGGTCGCTTTGTGCATTGCAGACTCAATCTGCCCTAGGACAATTTACATAATGCGGGAAAAGAAATTGAGAGTTGAGGGGACCAGGGATTTCGAGGTCACCTGGACACTCAAGTCTTTTTCCTATATTAGTCATTATGTCATTCCCAATTTGATGGAGACATTCGTGTTTCTGGTGGTCTTTGGGGTTTTTGCGGTTACTGAGAATTGCATGAAGAAGAAATGGTTTAATAATTCACGAAATATTCGGTGAGTATTATTTTTTGATACATTGTTAAGCAAAATTAGCTGAATTTTCCGAAAAAAGACCTTGAATTCGATTTAAGGGGAAAAAATCTATTGACTTTTAAAAAATGAAATGTCTATGAAAAAAAATTACACGACGGAGCTGCACAATTTGCAGTTAAAATCAGCGTAAATCCAATTTTTTTCAAGAATTGAAGTAGAATTTCATAGGATATTTCCTATGAATGCCCACAAAATTGTTCTCGAATTCTTGTCTTTTTTCACGACTGTTTCCAATCATCCCAACCACTTTCTTCTCTTAATCCCAGTCAAAATGACGCTCCTCTCCTTTCAATTTACCACGAACGGGACTTCCTCTTCGACGGATTGGACGAGTCCGAGGACACGTGCAATGACTCAGAATACCCCGAGGAAATAAATTACATAAAAATAGAAGAAGGAAGAAAATTACGGATTCACCCTGAGCTCTATTGGCACTGGAGGCTATTTAGGGGGATTGCGGAGATAACGACGAGGGTAAAACGGAAGAGTAAACGATTGAATAAATTGGGCCTTCACACCTCGACCTCCGGAGCGAAGGGCCTCCTCGAATATGATCCCGAAGACAAATGCAGCGTTCAGCCCTACGAAACTTACGACCAAGAAATCTATCGATTTATCAAAGCTGAAAAAAATTCATCGACGACTGCATTCAACGAGATCATTGCAGGTCTGCAGAACACCAGGAGGAAGTATCCGACGTGGACGTCCAGTTCTCAGAAGATAAACTCCAGGATTATCAGCTCCTCCCCAGCTTTCAAAGACTTCCTCTCTAAATTGAAGAAAAATCCCTCACCATGCAACAGACTAACTTTTTAATCCATTTTAACTACTTGATATTCTTTATTTATTTATACGTTTTTTAACTCTACGTTTACACGAATTTGTCACAAAAGTAATAAAACGAGAGATTAACAATTGCGTTATAGTTATAATGGCATCCTCTAAACTCAACTGACACTGGAGTTCAATGGAGATTCATTGGTCCCATTTATCATTAATTGTCAGTCATTCTGGTACTCTAAGTCATGGATACAATACACGATACATCAAGGCACCTTTGGCCAAAAAATTTCTATACAATTCAGTAAAAAAACAATCCTAAAATGTTTACTTTGTAGCAAAGTGGTGAATAAGAAAAGTCAAATAGTTCCTCAGCAGAGGATTTCGTGAATACCTTCGAATCTACCGGGTTTACTGAACAATTACAATTAATCGTCTCTCAATGAGTCTTTGCACTACCACCAATTCGTAAGATAATGCATCGATTACCAAACAAGGTGTACTAAATATAGATTTCCATTCACTTTCATCAATTGTACCATTCTCTCACTCTTTCCATCGAAAATATGCACAAGAGAATAATCTGCCCCTGTTCTCACAAAGACCAATTAAAACGCCCCAAGTTTCCGTTCTCCAGAACTAAAACTATATATTAATAAATTCATATGTCAAAAGGTGGGATCCAACTCATCTCAATTTAAAAAAAAATTAAAAATCGTATCCTCTACATTTGTACTAATTCCCAGAATTCTGTATAAAAGTCTTGGATCGTTTGATATTCCCAAGCTTGCAATTATTAACATTACTCGCAAATCTCAAAGAATTGAGTGTCTCATTATAGCACTCATCAAGCGGTGAAATATTAAGCAACATAAGGGTCTTGGAGTTGCCCCCAAGTGACGGCATAAGCAGATGAGTAAGCTTGGAGTTCCTGTACGGAATGTGCTCCTGCTTCCTCAACAGTGCCAATATGACATTCCCCAGATTAGCAAGACTCTTATTAATGTTCTTCGTCTCAGCAGTCCTGGCAGCCTCTTCGTTCTTCAGCCTCTCCGAGCCAGCGAGATCCACAAGATTAAGATTCCCAATACAAATCTCCTCCTTCTCAGTATGAGTCCCAATGAGCCTGATCCTCGCCACCGAATGAGACCTCGAGGACCTCTCATTAGCGATTGTCGCAGCAACAGCCCTGTTCTGCTGAGCAGTCCTCAAGCACTGATGCAACTCCTCAGGACTGTGAATCTCCTCCACCTGCAGATTGGTAACGTACAAATCCGTTCCCTTGCTGTCCACCATTCTGATCTCGTGGGTCTTCTGATTGGCATCAAGCAGATCGACAATGTGCTCGTTATAAATCTCCAGGAAGCTGGCTTCAATCTTGTACTCCCACCCAAGCAACTCGAACTCCTTCATCTCCTCGAAGATATGACGAACAGTTCGGGGGATCATGCCCTCAAGATTGGGATTGCACACCCCCTCCATGGTGTACGTCTTCCCCGATCCTGTCTGTCCATAAGCAAAGACACAGACATTGTAGCCCTCCAGGGCTGACTGCACCAGCAGTGAAAGCTCCTCGAAGACGTCGGCCTGAGAAGCATTGGGAGGGAAAATCTTATCGAATGTGAACTCCTGCTTCGTTCCCCTCGACTTGCCACTGCAGCTCATGCTGTCAGACCCGTCAGCCCTCCCAACCTCAATCGTGCACTCGTCCACGTAGTTTATGGAGCAAAGTGTCTTGCCATACTCCTTCGAAATCCTAGGACGCACTCTGCAGAAGACTCTGATGTTCCCCTTCATCTCCTGAATGTAATTGTGCAGAACTCGACGATCCTTATCCATCTGGTGCAGCAGCTCCTGCAGCTCCCTCATGCGATCATTTAACACAGCTATCGTCTGGATTTTCGCGGATAAATCTGACTCAACTCGTTCTAATTTCGATGAGCTAATTGAGAGCTCTTGCTTCAAACTCCTGTAGCTCTCCTCGCATTCTCTCAAACTCTCGGAAACGGTTTTGTAGTTCTCCTGGGATTTGTGAAGATCGAACTCGAGTTTATCGGCTTTTGTTTGAAGGTCAGTGAAGGTTCTCTTGGTTTCTGACAGCTCCTTCGAGAGCTCTTCGTTGGTCTCCTCCAGGAGTTGGGCTTTGGTGCTGCTCTTGCACTCGCGTTCCTTCAGATCGTCAGTGATGGATCGAAGCTCTTCGTTCTCTTCCGAAACGTTCTTGAGTTTTTCTTTTAGGGAAGTTAGTTCCTCCGCAGCGAGACCGTATTTTCCCTTCCAGTCCCATTTGCTGGGTTTTGGAGGGGCTTTGGAGGCTGCAGTGGGACGCAGGGATTTTCCCGAGACTCCTGAGGTCGTCGTGGAGGGGCCCGCCTTGGGGAGCGGCCGAATGTTGGGGCGCTTGGACTCAATCGTGCTGGTCAGGGTGCCTGGACGTTTCACTCCTGCTTTCACAGCAGTTGTTGTTCTTGTTATTGTCCCCAGGGTTCGGGAACGACGGAGGGAGGACTTTATTGGGGGCTTGTTCTCGTTGGTGACCTTCGTGAGGCCCATCGTGGTTTTTTGCTTTCCTAGGGATTTTAGGGTTGTCGTGGCGCGGGCTGGGGGGACCTCCTTGGGGACCTTGAACTCCGGGGCCTTGGAAACGTCGGTCGTGCTGACTGAGTGGGAGGGCGGACCTCCAGTGTTCGGTCTTAAGGAGGACAGCTTGGAGACCTGGTCTGAAGTTATGGCAGACTTCGAGAGGTTTATCTTGGGTTTCGGAAGACGTGATTCCATCTGGAAGGGGGTTCCTTGGTCATTAGGGAGTAGCAGCATTGTGTTGGGTTCGGGAGGTTTTTTTAGAGTGGATAGTGTATTTCGATATGAACACATAAAGGTTTATTTTGACACACTTTTACGCGGTTGTAAATGATTTGAGCTCTCCCGAGGGTCAAAGAACACTTTTCCCACGAGCGTCGAACCCCATTTCAGTAGCGAAGCGGTTAACAGGGTCAAGTCAACTTTATCGAAAATAAGTTTTCCACGGAAATCGACTCTTGAGGGTATGATGCATCTGCAGCATAAACGATTATAGTCTCAGAATATATTTGATGCCTTTTTCGGAACGAAATAAAACGGGTTAAATCGAAATTTTGGGAAAAATCCATTTCAGAGGAGCTAGGTCGACATAATCCGAAAAAAATGATTTAAAAATGAGATAAGACGATTTAGCTCGTTTTGTATGGATTCAATGGGCATTCTTAATATTGTTTTTAAATTGGAGTTGTTTGGATTGAAGAATTGGGTTTCTAGCTTTCCCTCTTTACCGACTATAGAATTTTATTATGACTTTAGAATAAAGGAAAATTAATTAAATCCATCCACCTGATAATTTCTCAAGCAATTTTTTTTTATTGAGCGGCGGTTTAAGTCGACATAACTCGGTTGGAGGGGAACATGAAGAGAGCTAAGTCGACTTGACTCTTTGAGTGTGGAAAAAAATGCGAGCTAAGTCGATAAAAATTGGTAACAAATAGTCTGCAGAAGTTGCAACTTATGCTAAAATCTCTCTCGATATTGAACGAAGTCCGTGCTTGAGTTTGATTAAATTCACAAAAGGACAGTCACTATCCGTTTTTCGGCTCTCCTGTAAAATTCAGTTTTCGACCCGGTTTACCGCTTCACTACTGATTTTTCATGGAAAGTAGGTTTTGTTGGTAGTAAGTTTTGCGTACGTGGAGCATACGTATAATTTCACATATCACAGAACCTTGATTTTTATCATTTCTGAATATAAATATGAGGCTTGATTTTCGTCGCTTCTGGGGAAAGTGAAATTTTACGCACAAGTGATGAAAAATCAAGGTTCTGTGATACCTTCTTGAAAAGTGCACTTTTCGAAACGATTTTGTGTGCGTAAATGTTTAATTTATCGTGCACAGTTGGACATGTATAATTCCAGTATGTGGAATTTAAGAAATACATAAAATCCATAACATTCGAACTCAAATTGGAGGATTTAGTTTTTCGTGAATCTTATGCTCCAATTATACCTGTGAGATTGCACACCAAATTGAACCTTTCCATTTGGAATTTATTGTATTCCCTTAGTTTATGAAGAGTGGAAAAATTCTGATATATTTAGGAGGAGGGAGTGTGGATAAACGAGTGAAAGCTCTGAATGGAAAGCCAAAAAATAAAATTTGGAAATTACAATTGAACATGATATCGATAACACAGTTAAAAACACTCAAAAACTATTTTAGTGTCTTGATAAATAATTTGTTAATTACAATAGCGAGAGGGAGAAATATTGCTATTGTTTTCCAATGGAGTCAATGGAGTAGTTTATGAACATGTAAAACATTTTACATTGCTTTGGCATTCAGTCCAGCCTCGATTATCTCTTTATTAAATTTATAATTCGAATCACAGATTCTAACTTGTCAAAAATGAGTGTCAAGATATGAATAATGCGAAAATTGTTCAATTTTGGGGGAATAGGGCTGTGAATACATGAGGGAAGGGCATGAATTGATAACCAGCATAAAACCATCAAGTTGAACGTGAATTTTTGGTAAATTTGAACATTATAACTGACATCACATCGATAAAATAGTTGAAAATGTGCAAAATCATTTTTACTTTTTAGTGAATAATTTCTTAATTGCAATAACAAGAAGGAATAAAAATTGCTTTTGCTTTCCACTGAAGGAGAGGTTAATTGATGATTTTTCTCCATTTCGTGAATGAATTTGGTGGCTAGAATTGACAAAAATGGGCAGAAATGTGTAAACAACATGAAAGTTTCTTGTATTGTCGAGGGAGGAAGGTAAATAAATCGATAAAGAGCGTAAATAAAGGCTACGTGAGAATACCAACCTTGAATTTATAAAGAATGCTCAGTTGTTTTCATACAAATTATTTACGTCCAATAACAAGTCTCACACTACGTATCGGGCACTAATTAGATCCTGGCTTTCAGCATATCTACACTCCACAATTGACTTTGAGTATTCGACAAATTTGTTGTCTAAGGGAGATGAAAACTTGGGTGGCGGTCGGTTTGTGCGACTCAGTCGGCAGTTGAATGGCAGTTGACTCCAAACATGTTTGAACTCGAAGTTCGTTGGGGATGGACCAATCACGGCAAGCAAAATGGCGGAACCAATCGCTGTTTATTTCACTCGCGGACAATTCGAATTGATTATAGGGGAGTTGGGTAAAACGGACACTTTTGACTTTTTTTAAAATCTTAATGAGGGGTTGAAATGTTGATGAAATTGAATAATTTTTTTTTTCAATACAAAGAACAATTTTTCCTTTTGTGACGAGCCTAAACTGAGCGCAATTGATAAAATTGTTTCTGAGTTATGAAAAATTTAAAAAAAGTCTAAAGGATCCATTTCAGGAGATTCATTCGAATTCATCATTCTGTCCCACTGGATTCATTTTAATTCTTAGGATTAATTTTTCATTAAGTTCATGTCAACAGTCACTTCCCTGTCAACTCGGGCCTTTGAGGCCTTCAACTAACAAGAGGAGTTTTCATATATTTTTTTTTGGGAATTTTTAAAATGATTTTTACCGGTTACTTGACGTCAATAATGTCGGTGGACATTTGTAGATTTTCGTTTAATGTTTTTTCCGTCCCGGCGGGCGCAAAGTTACATTTCCCTCCCGCTTCGCGGGAGGGAACTCTGACTTTGCGCCTACGTCGAGACGGAAAATCGCGTTCTAACCACGGGAAGTAAAATAAAGGACCCTCAGCCGCGTGCTTACCAACCTCCCCTTCGGCTCGGCTGGTAATTGCACTGGCGGCTGAAGATCCTTTATTTTCCCTCTAGGTTAGAAATATACTATTCTTGGGAGTTAGTATATTTCTATCCTAGGGAGGGAAAATAAAGGATCCTCAGCCGCCAGTGCAATTACCAGCCGAGGCGAAGGCGAGGTTGGTAATCACGCGGCTGAGGGTCCTTTATTTTACTTCCCGTAGTTAGAACGCGATTTTCCGTCTCGGCGTAGGCGCAAAGTCAGAGTTCCCTCCCGCGAAGCGGGAGGGAAATGTAACTTTGCGCCCGGCGGGACGGAAAAGAATTTTTTTTTAGAAGTTTATGTCTGCAGCCCAGCCATTCCCAGGTGGTCCACATCTACACGGAGAAAAATATTCAATAAAAATGACGTATCTTTTCCGTAATTCCGGAACGAAATGTGGTTTTAGGAAATTTTACGGAACTGTCACGGAATTTTTCCAGAGCGTTCCGTAATTTTTATCTGAATCTCCTGTGAAAAATTACGATACCGTTGGTTGAATTTTCTGAGTCGATTCCGTAATCGGTGAGCGAGTTGTGAGTTCCGTAATTTTTACTGAACATTTCTCTCCGCGTGCAGCAGTAATTTTAAAGTATAAAGAACTACATCAATCATCTTAAAGTGAGAATTCCACCTGATTCAACCCTTCTACACGCATCATTGTGCGAGCCTGCGCGTGCTCGGACTTTATTTGCGCCCTCATGGCGACGGGGTGGGGCGGGAGGTGCACAATGTTCCTGTGTTTCCCTTCAGTCACGTGGAGACACCAATCGCGTTCGTATCACAATTTCACAATTACTATCGAGTCCCTACCCCAATCATCGCGGACAAATACGGGTGAAGAAATTTCTGTGACAAAGTGCAAGTGTAATCTATTTAATCTGTGCCGTTGTTTACATGCAAAAGACGTCTCCTGTGTCTCAGATCCTTTTTCTACCGGTGAGTTGAACCGGGCATCAAATAATGTTAAACGTTTAATTTATATTTTGCGAGATGTGAATCCATTGTTTGATGTCATCATTTTGACATTAATTGTTATTTTATTATGAATTTTATCGTTGATTTAATTATGCTCGGGTGACCCTTCACTGAGAGAAAAACAAACACGTTGTCAAACAAGTCTTCTTTGGGTCAACAAAATCGCTAGTTGAAAATTGCCAAAACAAATTTGTTTGGTTTGAATTTGAAAGTCTCAAACATGAATAATTGTTCTGATTCCGACAGCAACGAAATTTTTGACTCAAGAGGCGGATTATTCACACCAGACGGTGCCTTTTCAGGATGAAAATATCTTATATAGAGGAAAATTTATCAGCGAATATTTTATCCCTAAGTTACAAGATTGCTATTATATCATTATTATTGTTTCATTTAAGGGTTCATTTGTTGTTTATGATTATTAGACAGCCAAAACGAAAACTACTATCCCTTGTTTCGCATAAAACAAAGATTTTTCGGGAGCAAAATACGTATGGGAGTATCGAATAAAGGAGTAGTGCTAGAAATGACATTTCTTGCGTGTACAGAGCATGCAATTTTTTTGAACTATTTAATCTATTTTTACGATAAACATTTTTCATTCCGGCGCACTCTCTGCATGTTTGGCATAAAAAAATCCTTTTTTGATAATTTTCAAAAAATTATTTTCTTCGCACAAGTAAGATTTGTTTGAGAACTTTGTCGTTTTTCTCTCAGTGTATGGCCTAATGCAATAGAGAAGTGCTGAAGGGTAACAACACGGACGGGAATCTCTCTTCATAATTTATTCCTGTTCATTATTCTATTCAACCCGTCACTAATATTTAAAAAAAAAGTCAAAATTGTTAGAAATTAGAAAAATTTAAGTGAATACACAAGAATAGAAATTCTTCACAAAGATTCTTGTGTTAGCATGGGAAAAGGGTGAATTGATTGAAGATTTCATCGTAATTTCGTATTTGATATGCATTTTTTTATTGAAACTTTGAGTGAGTTGGGGAATTACCTTTTGATTGAATTTGCAATGAAGTTTAAAATTTAATGATTTTCTGTCTAAAATCGACTGACCAAACTGTGCACTTAATTTTCATATTTTGTCAACTGTGTTCATCTAATGGTTCGATTATACTATACCTCGAAGAAGAGACAAATATAAATACAGGTTCACGGATCTCAGTGAGCCTTAATTTTCAAGTGAAATTGTCACTAATTTTCAGGTAAATGTCACTGATTTTCAGGGACCCATTACGAACTCGTTTTTCTTGCTCCGTTCCAACAGTTCTGTCAATATCTGCCGGAGGAATTAAAGGAAAAGAGTGAAATTAGATCCATCAGATGGGAAAATGCTCCAGATCTTTGATGCGATATATTCCGTTCACCTTGATAATTTGAAACTATTTCATACATCAAACAGTCTGAATAATTACATATTAATTAGTACCTCCGCCTTTAATCAATTGATCTAAATCAATCTTTATGGAGCAACAAAAATGTAAGGAAAAAATTGAAAGAAAAATGGTTGTTCACCGATTTTTTTGCGTGCATTTCTCCAAGTGTTTGAACTTCACACACCTTTTGTAGACATTTTTCAAACACTAAAAAACGTCTGAATGAAATGAAAATTTGTCTGAATTTCAAACATGAATTAAAATGTTTAGGCACCTGTTCGTCTGAAATGCAGACAAATTTGCATTTTAATCAGACGGGTTTTAGCGTCTGAAAAATGTAGACAAAAGGGGTGTGAAATTCGGACATTTGTTTTTGCTGTGATGACACTTCGTCGTTGCCTTTCTACTGCAAGGTAAATGTAGCATTGGAGATTGGGCGATGAACAATCCCAACACATCAATAATTCGTAAAATATTCCACACAACGTGGCTTGTTTGAACATTGAAGCAGGTGCCATTACAAACCCGAGGGAATCCCATTCTCAACTCAAAAAAGTACAATCTGTCTCGCCGCAATAGTTTCCGAGATGGAACAAAAATGAATTCCATAAACACAGAGAGAAAACTTTTTATCAGTGAAGATTTTTCATCCGCACCTTGGAAGCTGCTGCCTAGAAATGAGTTGTATTTTCGTTCAATCTAAGATGAAATTTCCCGTCTTCTTAGTGAGACCTCTCAGAGCTCTCAATTTCACCTTCTCAGATAAAAAGAATTATTCATTCAAATTGATGATATTACTGAAAGTCGCAGATAAAAAATGATAAATGATATTCGAGCTCTTTCATATCCCCGGAGAATTGATGACGACATTTCATTTCCAGAAAAAAAAACTGTAAAAATACGAAAATGAAAAATAACTGACGATTGGAAAATCGGAGATATTTTCAGGCATTGAAATATGATTGACTCGCTCGAAAATACTCGATCCATGTCCTGGAATTTTGATCGTGTCATTATAACCGCCGAAGGGTTGAATGTAGCCCCCGACAAGCTCCGAATATCAATCATCTGAGTCGTAGTTTATCAACAGCACCCAGTTATTCACCAGCTCCTGTTCGACATTCCCGTCATACATACAACACCATCGACCTGGCGGGCGACAAACGATGATAGACTCAACTGGAAAACCGTTTGGCCCTGCTATGAAATTACTCTGCAACCCCTTTATCTCGTCCTTTACACTGGGACTATCTTTCTTCATCTTTTCATGACTTTCGTTATTGTTTCTGAGGATTTCGCTTCAAAGAGAACAAGAAAATGTAAGGAATTGCGGAGCTCGAGGGTGAGAGCTTCTTGCCTCGAGCACACCTTGCTTAATGGCTTCCTTGTTCACTCGGTTCGTTATTTTTTATCCTCCCTTTTCTTTTGTGGGAGACGATGCAGCACGGCCTGGAAGGCAGAGTGCGGTCATCGTTAAGGCTTGTCGCGTCGTTGATTTTTTTTCTGTGGTCCCGTTTTAGGAGGTTTTCGTTGCCCTTGTGGACGGAAATTTTAGGAGATATCATTCCCAAAAATTTCATAATGGGTTTTTCGATTAACATTAATCGATAAATCCGTTATGAAAATTTCTAGCATTTATTGTTTAGCATTTTTTGCAGTGCAATTCGCTGATTTATGGACTTCAGGAAATTTTTGAATATTTGAACCTCAACTTTTGTTGTGAGAGAAAAATTACTTCTTCCCAATCAAAACCTGAATATTCAGTACGTAATTATGCGAAATTACCAATTAATTGAACATGCATGAACATATGTGGAATTACTCTTGTATTGCATATAGCATAGTTATTTCTGCTAAAATAACGATGATTGCTATAACCTTCATCTTCGAAATTGGTCAAAAAGACATCCAAA